GGCTGCCACCACGCCGTGCGAGACAGGTACCGCTGGATTTTTTCGGCGGCCAGTTCCTCAATAACATCAGTTGCGTACCCCGGGCGTGCGATCTTTGTTAACTCGCGCACATCCTCGGCGTAATCACGTAGATCTTCGCCAGGTTGGCGACGGCGCGCCTCTAAGGCAGATTTTGCTTCCTCCTCGTCACGCGTGCCAAAACGCTGATCGAGTCGGCGCATCAGCTCCTCTAGCTGTGTCTGTGCGCTCGCGGGTAACGCTTCTACAAAATCGGCTGCCCGCCCATCAAGATTCATATTAAGTTGACGTACTGCCTGCGCGTCCGTCCACCCATTAATTTCCTTGGCCCCTAAGAGATTGCGGGCGAATGCCTTCCACGAAGGGGCCCCCCGGCCGGTAAATATTAGTCTTATTTTAGCGTGAGGTAACGCGGGGGTCCGTACCGCTTCCGACACCAATTTGTGGGGGTCGCTGGCCCTCGAGGTCCCTCCCTCTGTACCGCTAACGGCCGGGTTAACCTCATTATTAACCTCATTACTCGCCCCCTCGCTACTAGGCGAACCGCTGTTGGGTTCTTCACCCATGGGGTGAGAGCCGTCGCTCGAGGATTCCCCTCCCCCGCGGGTCCGCGTAATAGGCATGGTTAATTACGTACGTGCACACCCACACACAGCTCTGCGCGGCACTCACTCAATACAGACCACTCACGTTGGGATCGCGCACCTGTATTATACACGTAGTGAACGTGCGCGCACACACGCATACAGCTCCACACGCGATACCCACTCTTGCGCCGCTCTGCGCAGCGCTCGCCGCCTGCTGGCCGCTTACGTTATGATCGCGCACCTGGGGGACGCCGATTACGCACGCCGCGAGCTTACGCACACACAGTACCACACGCGTTCCCACACGCTCACACTGCACGACAAGATCACGCGAGACCACGCTTCGCTATTAATGATTTATTACCTGGTAACTAATGTTGAATCAGTGAGTCGACGAGGCTGGCCTATTCCACTAAACCGGCACCTATTCCCTATTTATCGGCTATGATTCTAATTCACCTTCTTACTCACTGTTAAGTGTCCACGGCGGTCCGCTGATCCTTGTGTTAACCGCGTGCCTCGGTGCGTCGCACGGACGTCCGGGTCGCTGGCTCGAGCTGCGTCTGGTCGCCTGGCGCTGGAGTAAGAGAGCGATTTCCCCTCTGCGCCCCTCTATTTATCCTCCCTACCTCAAAGGGGATGCTGCGCTGAACAATGGGCTCGCGCACCCCGAGCCCGCGCACGGCGGTTCCGGGCGCTGTTGATATGCTAATCAGTGAGCGACGTTGGCGGCGTACATCCTAATTAACCCCTTACCCTCCCTAACAATGGGGCCTGCGCGCTCAAGCGCAATTATCCCAACCCTCCATGACTATGCGCAACAGCCCCTGTGATCCCGCTATTCATGCTGTCCCGTGCCTCCCCTGCTTGCCCCGTCGACTCGTGGGGGTGTGTGTGGGGGGAAATGCGCCTCAACCGCGGTGGCCGAATGCCCCACGCCGCGACCACACCATATTAAGGCCGGCCGCAGCGCCGCGGTGCCACGTAGCACGGGGGAGGTCATCCAATTCCCTGATCGCCGGAAACCGTGAGAATTAATCCCGATAAGGGTCTCTCGGATAAAAACCGGTCGGCCAGGCGACCTCCCCTCGGAGCTCTATGGGGGGGGGGGGGGGGGGGGAAATGAGTGCGGGTGTGTTCATGTGAGGTGAGGTGAGGGGGACGCGGGGTCGGCTCCGTTGCTTGGTGGTGGCGAGGTCGGGGATTTGGTGCCTGCCGAACGGCTTCGCGGCGGCGGCATCACAGAGCACGTGGGGGGGGGGGGGCAGCTGCCATTTTTAAAGAGGGCCTAAGTAATCGACCAAAAACGCGTGTTTGATTATATATTTTTTCCCGATGAATAGACTTAATTGATTAATCGACTTAATCGTCCCCAGCCCAACTCTTAACCTCACGAGAGCTACGAGTAGGAACGCATTGCTCACACACCCTTCGTTGCCAATCATGGCACGCATCCCTCGGCTTCTTCACCAGGCTGACGAGTGGAATGACGCGATGCTAAAGCACAGCCTCTTTGATCCTCTTTGTCCACCCGCCGCTTGACGATGGCCTTCCGATGCCGTGTCGGTCACCGTCATTGATTTGTCCAGATTTCACCGCGCTCTGTTGTGCAGGTTGGTGGTGAAGGGGGCTGCCTCAGGACCGGTTCAAACATCACTTCGCCGTCGATGTTGGCCATGGCCAGTGATGGAACGCAGAGGTGGCTGCATGCAAAGTGCAGTGCCGCTAGCCACCTCGCCAATGCCCCCCCCCCCCCCGATGGGTAACATAGTCAGTGTTTAATCCTTCGGAAACTAACAACAACAATAAGTACGAACATGTTTATTCCATGTGGTCAGAGGCGTTTCTACCATCTGCAATTTGTGTTAAACTTTTTTCGCACCGTACATAGTCAACCGTGCTAATGGGAGGTGCGGGGTATTATAGACACATTCCTTTATATACACATGATATAATTATATATTATAAGCACGTGATATAATTATATACACATGCCTTTTTCTAATTACTTGCAATCCGCATGCACCTTAAGCTTGGGGGGATAAAACAACAGCAGAGGGAAAGTGTGAGCAGCATTGGCTCACCGAAATAAATAATCACCACGTGCCATAATTAGCCGCAGTTGCGTATGCTCAAACCATACATTGTTACCTCTTGAGGTTCTTGTTGGTGTTGTGGTTTTTGTCCCTTGATTAGGCTAGTGAGCCTAAATATAGAAGAGAGTCTCTAAAACCCCTGCATCGAACATCAAACTAACTTCCATCAATGTAGCTGCGCAGACACCTCTAACATTTTGATGGCGGTCGCTCATCCATGTGTAATAAAGCTCATTGAGACAACTTCTGGAATCCGTCTTTTATTCAACTTATGTTACAGTTACTTCACGCTGCTGATAGGCATCGTGAGAGGGACAGATAGACAGAGAGAGACGCACTGCCACGTGGCAACTCGGAGCCCCGCTCCCGCGTGGCCCCCTTCCTCTGTTCGTTCCCGTTCTGCCCCCGTCTCGTTCGTCTCCACCCCTATTTAATACCCGGGTCACATGGTACGTTTCCGCCAATCCTCGTTAGCCTGCATCGAATCTTCCAGGCTCCCTCGTCAGCTCCCGGGACCACGCCCCTGACTCATCTCCCCATTGGCTGAGGCCAAAGCCAGCATACCCAATCCTTATAGCTGTCACCTTTCCATCACGTCAGGACCATGCCCCCAGGCTTCCCCCCATTGGCTGTAAACCAGGACCGGCACAGCCAATCACCATGACAAGTTGTGATACGTCAGTGAGCCGGATATATCCTCATATTACACATGCACTGTCCAGGCTCAATGGCTGCTTAGCTTATGAGGTCTACATGAACTCCGGCGGTCCTGGGCTCTTTTGTTCACAGGCTTCATTGGTGAACGTTGTGGGCCTTGGCCTCACGTGACTCCGACTCCGCGCCTCCACAACTTGGGGGGGTGGGAAATCGCATCTTGAATTGAATCGCAAACATGAATTGCAGCAATGAATCAAATTAGCATCGAGGGTGGGCGTAGGGGTGAATAGGTGAATAGTTACATGCCTAATAAAGGGCACACACACAGCACGAGTGCACAATAGTACTTTATTTCTTCATTTGTGATGCTGATAAGTAAAGCATGTATTAAATTACGTTGATGCATTTTTTTGTAAAAGAAATAATTGGATTTTAGCTCATCATTACAATTGCTCAGTATTAGTGCATATTTTAACGACTAATTTTAAGCATCCTTTATTTGCCAACAACTAAGTGGTGTCCTGGAAATGAAACAAAAACTAGATATATTTCGATTTAAAGCTTTCGTGACTGCAGGGATTCATCTTCTTGGTTCTTTCGGTAAAGTCACGTAGAAGGGAAATAATAAAATAATAAAAATCAAACAATGAAATAAAAAATTCTCACGACGTTTCGGCCACAACACAAGCAGCCATCCTCAGGTGAAGAAACAGAGCTGTCGGAAAGACAGCGTCCCAATGAACACCGCCAAGCTTGGCAGCGTATATTTAAGCTGGGTCAGGGGAGGAGAGCGCCTTGACAAAGGAGTTTACATATCAACACCGGAATTAAGCATATTGATGGTAAATGCAGATATGGGATTAGTCACTCCTTGTGGAATGTGTAGGTGGTGGTGGGGGTCTCAAAGTCATATGACTGAAAAAACTAGATAACCCACAAACATTGTCGAGTAGGCAGGCTTTTATTCAGAGTAGGCCGATTAAGTGGATTTTTAATCAAGTCTTTATTACATCCATCATATGAACATCTACAGCAGTGCTATTGGACATCAGGCGGCCCCTGGTGGCCTTTCGTACGGCCTCTGACGTGCCGTCCTCGTCAGGACACAACACGTGGAAACCCAACTGTTTCAAATGTGTGGCTGCCCTCACACATCGTTCTTATTGTCGAAAGTGCCCCCCCTATAAAAATACGTGAAGAACACTGACCTATTGGGAGAAGGTACAAAACACATTCCTGCGGAGGGAGCTGGTAGGAACGTTGGGTTGCTCGGTCAATGGCCAGGGTCAACGGCGGCGTGGTGTATTCCGCAAATATGGCCGACTGTGAGGGCGGGCACAAGCCGGCGTGAGTAGGTTAAACGTTGAGTTTTATAAGGGCACCACGGGGTGACCAGCCCCTCCCTCCCCACCCAGCCCCACCCCTCCCACCCCCCACCCAGCCCCACCCTCCCCACCCAGTCCCTCCCCACCCTCCCCTCCCCACCCAGCCCCTCCCCACCCTCCCCTCTCCACCCAGCCCCACCCCTCCCATTTTTGGATCCACGACGGACGGACGGACACAATAATCCCCTGTGGGCTGGTGTAACCAGAAGGTTCCTACCAGTAAAAATAATTATTACGTCTGGATTGTAAAATGTTACAATGAAGGTCGCCTCAGTTATCTTTCAAAAACACGTGTGGGTTGCCAACTTGTTTGTTCCCAAGACGCCCCTCAGTTATGGTGTAAATTCTGAATGTACTTTGGTTAATGTTTTTTTGCACTTAAATACATTTACCATGTGCACTACAGTCGAACATGGAAATTTCACAACCGAGCTGGGTTAATGAGTGATAACTGTTTAAATATACACTCTTTTCAAAGTGCTCTTTCAGCAAATATTCTCTATCTTTTACTCGCAATAATATTCGTATATAAAGTCCGTACCATTGTTTTCCTCACCATGCTCATATCAACGAATTACATTAATCTTCCTTGAAGTGCAGCTCCCCCGATATCTGAGTGTCACGATCCGAAGGTAGCCAGAGGCTACGGTCGTGGTGTCTTCAGTGGTTCACGTACACAACGGGTGAATTGATGTCATCTGGCTCCACTTTGGCACTAGAAAATAAATCATCGTTTACATTAGACGCAGCAAGCTGTAACGGTCGGGTATTGAAGGCACATATAAAGCAGCCATGTCCTGCATGTATCGTTCATGCCAATTCAATCAGTCGGTGTCTATTTTTTTATGAGACAATTGGCATTCTTGTGTACACTTCCAGTTGCGGTTTAAATTTAGTTGCTCCACGGATGGTCTCGTTTCGCCAGTTGCTCAGCTTGATTTGAAGCTTTCGTGACTGCAGGGATCCATACTCTTTGGTTCTTTCGGTAAAGTCACGTAGGTATTATTTTCTATTTTATTTTTCTACCTACGTGACTTTACCGAAAGAACCACAGAGTATAGTTGCTCAGCTATTTGGAGAGATCCGTGGTGCGTCGGCACAACAACAACATCGAAACGTAGACGAAACGTAGACGAAACGTCAGTGTTGCAGGGAACAAACACAGGGTCCTTAAGGAACATTGCACAAGTAACAAATTAGGTATCTAGTGGTCATAAACGAAACACACGCGAAAAAAAAAATACAGTGCAAATGTAATTTAAAAGCAAGAGACGCCGGAAAAAAGTTAGGTACATGTTCAAGTAAACTCTATATTTTGGTTGGCAGATCTAAGAGTATTCACACTGTACGCCATCACAAAAACATAAGGCCATTGTGTGCCAGAGTAAGACTTTATGGGTTTAAGTCAACAATGGTTGTCCTATGGATCGACTCGCCCTTGGCCATAGGAATATGCACTTTCCACCACTGACTCAATGATAAACACCACCTCAATGCGCATTTGGGCTGGACATCACTTGGATATTTGTTGTTGTTGTTGACTTACTGCTCAGTGTGTGTTTCATTACAAGACACCTCGTAGAGTAAGACGCACCCTAAACTCGTGCCCGGTGTCAGCAACGTGATACTCACTTGGTCGTACGCACAACTACCGCCTTTTAACACGGTAGCCTTTCGTGACCGATATAATTCGTAATAGAGAAATTATTCTATTTGGGTTAGATCGCATAACCCCAAAAAAACTTCTAATATAACTACCGCATATTTAGAGGCACCCACAACATTTCCATTAAAGTACAGGGGGGGAGGGGGGAAGTGCACATGATAGTCTGGAGAATACGGTAATAGGCAGTGGGTTCAAGCGCCTGACTGGCAAGTTTATTACAACTAACTTTCAGTGGAGATTTCAGCCTTAATTTCCAATCATATCACAGGCGAACTTCTTACACGTCTGGGAATCCGGACTTCTGTTCAGCAGCCTTTTTAGGCGTGACTGAAAAAGCAGCCATGATCACACGCGAGAATAAAAATTAACCCGTAAAAACTAAGTTTTTCACTATAAATCCTTTATATTCGTGGCGGCAAGAGTCCTCTCGTCCTCTGGCTTGAGATGGCTGCCACCTATGGGTCAGATGATTGCCTGCCACCATTAAGCAAATGGTAATTAAATATATATTTTTTTCTAAAAAGTGTAAAATTTTGGAAAAAAATTTTCACGACAATAAATTGCCACGCACAACGAATCTGTGTGCAAAATTTCAGCTCGATTGGATCACGGGAAGTGGGTTAAAAAACGACCGAAAGATTTGCACGGTCGTAAGCGCGCAAGCAAGCAAGCAAGTGAACTTAATATAAAGGATTTAAAAACAAGCTGAGCCACGGACACCGCGGTGGCACAGCGAGGACATCCCTTGCGATGAAAGGTGCACACACAGTCGTACCTTTTGCAGGTCACACGATCCCAGATATTCTTGAGCGAAGTCCCTCGTCAGCGGACTTCCACACAGGAATACGATGGGCGTCGTGAGCGTGTTGATGACCCGAAGGATGTTGTAAGGCTGGACGGCATTGTAAGGGATGCCGTAGCACAGTCCCATGTAAAAGCAGAAGCCGCAGTACATGAGGCTGGGCGTCCAGAGAAATATGAACATCACGGACGTGATGATAATGAGGTGCGACGACCTCTTGGCCTCGCCGTCGGTTTGTTTCTCGCGACTGAGCTGCCGCTTGGTCACCAGGTAAAGGTGCACGTTGAGGCAGGCCATCACGAACACCAGCACGATACTACCGAGCAGCGAGCAGTAAGAGTGGTAAATGAACACGGCCCATTTCGGGATCTCCGTTTTGATCACGGTGTTGGCGACGGACAAGAGCCATGTGGCGGTGATGATCGCCAGCACTTTGGTTCGAGTCATGTTCTTCGTGTAGTCGAACGGGTACTGCACGGCGTAGTACCTGTCCACCATGGCTGCCATCAGGGTCAGCAGCGAGATTCCGTGGAACATTGGGAAGAGTCCTGGGGCGTCATATCCGCCGGAGAGGCTCTCCAGCACCAAGTAGGTCCCGTTGTAGAACCAGCCGCATCCGACGATTAGGTCCGTGATGGTGATGCTCAGCGTGTAGAGGAAGTTGTTCCTCTTCCGGAGCTTCGCCGAGCTCACGATGGCCAGAATCAAGAGGGAGTTGGCGATCGTCGAAGACGATGCCAAGCTAATGTGGAATATGATCAAAATCCAATCGCCCGCATCCTTGGCCACTGTATATAGTGGCACGATCATTTTATTTTGTTCTTCACGAAACGCACTCCAAATCCGAAGCTGGATGAGCACGAAATTAGTGAAGGCTTATGATCGCAGCCGGTCCCAATCAATGTTATTAAATAGGTGATAGAATTCAGCCGAGACGGACTTAAAATACTTCCGTTTACCGGATTTGGAATATTCTATTCCCCGCGTTCCTCTGCGTCGCGGTAAAGTAATGCTAATGACATGAACAAGCGCACTCCAAATGCCCAAGAGCATTCGCAGAGCCCTTTGGAAGAAGATAATACTCTCTGTGTAGCAGGGATCTTTGAGCTCACCTCCCATCAGATATGTGTAATTGCTTGTTATTGCAAGCTGCATGAACCTGCCGAAGGTAATGGTAAAGGTGCAGCCCTGCAATTGATAGCTCACGTCACTGCTGGGCGGAAGGGCCTCCAACTGTCGGGAGCTCCAGCAAGCACCGCTCGATGGTAATTTGGCCTACTCTTCCACACGGGCCATATGACTTGAAAGAGGCAGGAGTGCCGATCCTTTATCCGATCACACGGGGTCCTGCCGATAGACTAACGATGGTGAACACTTACTGCCCGGTGGACAGAGGTGGGGCAATTTAATAAACGTATACTCTTAGATTTTTCGGTAAAGTCACGTAGGTAAAAAATGAAATTAAAATTAATACAAATAAAATAATAAAAATCACGACGTTTCGGAGGCAACACAAGTCTCCGTCATCAGGTGGGACCCTCACAGCCAGATTTGCTGTATCAAGTGAGGCCTCACTTGATACAGCACTCACTTGATACAGCAAATCTGGCTGTGACGGTCCCACTTGATGACGGAGACTTGTGTTGCATCCGAAACGTCGTGATTTTTATTATTTTATTTTTTATTAATTTTAATTTTATTTTTTACCTACGTGACTTTACCGAAAAAACTGAGAGTATGAATCCTTGCAGTCACGAAGGCTTCAAATTTAGAATTAATAAACTTACCCCATTGTTTTAACTGCCACGTCGGGAGATCCAACCGAATGTCAAGTCCAGTGTTCTATTACAGCATCCCCCCTGCCAAAGAAGTCAATGAAAACTCAGCATGTTGCTTTCGTGTTTTTTTTTATATTTACAAGGTTGGAACGGTGGCACAGTGATAGCTGAGCGGGTCCTGGGCATTTCCCTTCACCAACATGCACTGGGCAGCGTGGTGAAATATGGTAAAACCACCCCCGTGACCGACTCGGTTTGGGAAGGCCTACATCCAACAGTGGATTGCTCGTGGCTGATGATCATGTACAATTAATGTTACACACAATATGACTGCTGTGACATTTAAAACATTTGAACACATTTCAACGGGAAGTATCTTTTAACTCCTAAAAATAACACAAAGCCTAAAGTAAAGTAAAAAAAATATGCATGTTTTTTAATAGTTCATGGTATGAGAGGGTTAAACAATCCATCGTTTATAATAATTACTCATGCTCAGTCCTCTGAAGTCTCAATGCTATAACATCTTGGGGTGCCACGGTTGCGAGATGTTAACTACCTCGCCTGGTTCACAGGAGATCGTGGGGTTTATCCCAACCCTGACACGTGTATGTTTGGAGTTTGCATGTTCTCCCTGTGGTCGCGTGGATGTTTCTCCGGTTTTCCCTCCACATTTAGAAACATGCGTTTAGATTATTTGGCTGCTATACATGTCCACGTGATAAGCCACTTCGTTGAGATGTCATTTGTGGCCAGGTCGCTTCTGAAAAATAGCTATACAGCTCAGTGGGCTTTACCTGGTAAATAACAAATTGTCTAGTTTTATCTTTCAGCAACAAGGTGAATTCAAATCCCTCTCACCCACCCCCTGGGATTTAAATATTAATTTTATGGAGCAGGGGGAGGTTGAATGTTCTTTCATCAGCTGTGAATGGGGTTTCTTGAGTTGACAACGTTTTAAAAGCCCTGACCAAGACGTTTAGCCACATCTTCGTGGCCACGCCTTGCAACATCATTTCACTACCGTGCTCATGCTTCAGCTCTCTTTATTATAAACCCTCGCAGATTATTGACCAACACTCTTCTAAATCCCAATTATGTGTTCGCTTACTCTTTGATTTTTTCGGTAAAGTCACGTAGGTAAAAAATAAAATAAATGAAAACAACTAAATTAAATCACGACGTTGTTTTCATTTATTTTATTTTATACCTACGTGACTTTACCGAAAAACAAAGAGTATGAATCCTTGCAGTCACGAAAGCTTCAAATCTAGAGGTGGTGTGTTCGCTTGTTCCTCTTTGAGGCGAGGCAGTGCTTGGAGAAGAAACGCTTTCATATGTTGTTGTCCACAAAAAATAGTGCTGCTTCTGACCTGTGTGTGCGTGTTCCTGTGGAACCTGCACCTAAGGCACTAAAGAGATCTCGTTGCTGATTGCTTCATATAAATATACCTTTCCAGTCAGTTTTTAGTCATTAACCTTATACCATAAGGTTAGTGCAAATCTGTGTTTTATTTTAATGGAGGTATTGCTTTACATTTGGCGACTTTGGTTCAATTCCTGGTCAAGACTATATCATCCCATCCGTGGGGAGTGATGTCTGAACCATGTCTCGGCACCCCGTTCACCAACCCGCATTGCCCAGTGTGGTGAACCGCGGTCAAATAACCCTTTGACCGACACAAGAGGGAGCCCTAGAGGGACTTTGGCCTACTCTTCCACGCTTCCCAGCCATCTTTGCAGAGGTGGGAGCACTCACATTTTGCCTTACCCCACACTCGGCCAAACTGTGGTGTACCCACTTATACTTCTGGGTGGGATCGAGGGGATCGTTGTTGTTTAAAATAAACATCCACCATTTTTCAAACTGCCACGCCGAGAGACTGAACCGGAGACCTCTGGGTTGCAGGTCCAGTGTGATCACGGGGCTCTCCGTCGTGAGATGAAATTACGTGCAGCAAGGAAAGCGTCGTGACTCCCGCCACGAAACACGAGTGCCTGACTCGGTGCGAGCATGGTGATAAAATGAGCTTGATGCCTGGGCGTGACACACCACTCCCACTCCTGGAGATGTGTGTATTTTTATACGCAAACATGCACTCCCTCTGGTGGAGATAACCCTCTGTTGGACTTCACATCCACTCTCGTGTGCTCGGGCGACTTATTTTAATGACCGCTTGCTTGCTTGATATTCGCGAATTATTCTCGTGCCATAGCCACCACCGGTATCCCTCTGAGTTGAAGCGGGTTTTTTTTCATCGCTGCAGAGAGCCTCCCTGTATAATTGGCACTTTCCCTTTTGCATGCAGGCGGTCTCACGGTAGAAAAATGCAAATACACAGGTGTGTGCCGGATTTAATTTTAGCAGGAAATTAACGTCGGCCTTGGAGAGACTCTCGGTGCTTTCCTCAACCTCACGGTTCTGCGGTAGAACAAAGATCCCCCGTGTAGCCTTAGCAGACTGTAGGGGCAAGTGCTGTTAGCAAGTAGCACCTATGAAGGCCGGAACGGTACGCGAGGGGGCGGGTGGCCAGCACCACGCCCGACCGCCTTTGTCTCCCCAGTGGCGATGTTTACACACCGCACCCAGGTACTCATTTGAGGCCGAGTCGACCTAGAGGAGGCCCAGGACCGGTTCAGATAATCGTCACTGGGTGTTGGCCGTGAGCGGGACTCGAACCACCGCTATATAACAAGCCGCCCAGCACTTGCACAAGAGCCGATTTCATCGCTCCATCTCCTCCGTGGACGTGAACATTTTCAGATACGTTCCATTCCATGGCAGCCACTTCTTAGCCGTCGGCCATCAACCCTTATTGCGATGTGCCACGTGCCCAAGCCCATTTACTTCTCTTAACAGTGTCAATGATGTCGTTAAAAACTGTGTATGCTCTCCAATCCACGCGTTCCTCATTCTGTCTCCCAGTGTCATGTTTTGTCAATAAAAAATGTTTCTGAACCACGTCCTAGCAGGTATTGATTGCACACCGACTAAATACTTTCAAAGTTCAGATTCATAGAAGCACTCCGTAATAATAATAATAGTTTACAGACATCAGTCCACTGCTGGATGAGGGCCTCCACGTGCCATGCATTGCCTCGGGGGTGATTTGACCGTATTCCAACATGCTGGTCACTGCAGGTTGGCGACAGCTGCCGCTGAACTTCAGTGCTCCCTGCCTTCACCAACTCGCGTTGGCCAGCGTGGTGAAGTATGGTCAAATAACGTCCAAGACCATGCCTGACGCGGGAAGGCCCTCATTCGGCATCGTATTGACAAAGGGAGGGGGGAAGGGCGAGGTGTACGACTACAGATGTTGCATTCGTCTCTTGATTCCAGGTGGAGTGCTCACTGCCACGCGCTGCCGCCAGACACGATCGCTCCGCGCCAAAGAGTGACACCAGTCGACGGTGGTCCAGAGAACGCCCTGGGATGCATGTCCACACCATTGTACAGCCCCTGTGAGTTAGATTTCGATTCAAAGCTTTCGTGACTGCAGGGATTCATCTTCTTGATTCTTTCGGTAAAGTCACGTAGAAGGGAAATAATAAAATAATAAAAATAAAACATCATAAAATATTATTTTAAATTTCGATTTAAAGCTTTCGTGACTGCAGGGATTCATCTTCTTGGTTCTTTCGGTAAAGTCACGTAGAAGGGAAATAATCAAATAATAAAAATAAAACATCATAAAATATTATTTTAAATTTCGATTTAAAGCTTTCGTGACTGCAGGGATTCATCTTCTTGATTCTTTCGGTAAAGTCACGTAGAAGGGAAATAATAAAATAATAAAAGTTAAACATCATAAGATATTATTTTAAATTTCGATTTAAAGCTGTCGTGACTGCAGGGATTCATCTTCTTGATTCTTTCGGTAAAATCACGTAGAAGGGAAATAATAAAATAATACAAATAAAACATCATAAAATATTATTTTAAATTTCGATTTAAAGCTTTCGTGACTGCAGGGATTCATCTTCTTGGTTCTTTCGGTAAAGTCGCGTAGAAGGGAAATAATAAAATAATAAAAATAAAACATCATAAAATATTATTTTAAATTTAGATTTAAAGCTTTCGTGACTGCAGGGATTCATCTTCTTGGTTCTTTCGGTAAAGTCACGTAGAAGGGAAATAATAAAATAATAAAAATAAAACATCATAAAATATTATTTTAAATTTCGATTTAAAGCTTTCGTGACTGCAGGGATTCATCTTCTTGGTTCTTTCGGTAAAGTCACGTAGAAGGGAAATAATAAAATAATAAAAATAAAACATCATAAAATATTATTTTAAATTTAGATTTAAAGCTTTCGTGACTGCAGGGATTCATCTTCTTGGTTCTTTCGGTAAAGTCACGTGACTTTACCGAAAGAACCAAGAAGATGAGCCCCTGGGAGGTTAACCTTTGTACAGCCGAGCCTTGATGTCTACAGCTCAACACTCGTCTGTTCCGATGGCAACGTGGCTTTTGTAAATTCAGTCGAGTGTGCCACGTAAAGTATCCGAGATCATTTTCTCTCCCTCCCTCTCTCTCTCTCCGCCTCTGCTCGGCGGTGATGAGCTCACCGCCGGCTCGTGTAAATCCCCAGTGGTTGTCACCACCGCGGCCAATATGTTCGCGCTGATAATTGCAGGAGTGATCGAGTGTTGTCACTCGCCACACTGAAGGTCGTGTAACTATCGCGACGGCGTCATTCGTTGTGCGTACGATTTTCGTGATAATGGTAATTGTTGTGGGGTTTTTTTTGGTACTCGTTGCAGAGCAATTGTGCGTGTCATTTATTTTTCAATTCACGGTTGTGTAATAATTGTTTGTGTGTTATTCGTTTTTTTCAAGTGATTGAGTAATCGTGAGTTTGTTGTTTTTTTGCACTGATGATTGTAAAACACTCATGACCGTGTAATTTTCATCGTGTTAAGCCGGATATTTACGTTTCTTAGTGGCGTCGTTCTGGAAAAAATTACCAGACATGCAGCAGCTGTCGAGTAATGCAAGACTCAAATAAAACAAATCCAATATTTCAACATGTAAATTATATTACATATGCATCAGTAGTATACACTAAATGCAAACAATGCTCACGATAATTGTTTTTTTACCCTCTATCTGGCAACAAAACTGACACCTTTTTACAAGGAGTCATGTTTGCATAGACCGCAATACCTGCAGTCATAATCCACACCCGAGTTGTCTCGGGTGTGGACCAATCAACTTCAAGGACAGTGCACATTATCAGAGTTATGTTCTTTTGTTTGTATTATGACTGCAGGTATTGCGGTCTATGCAAACATGACTCCTTGTAAAAAAGGTGTCAGTTTTGTTGCCAGATAAAAGGGTAAAAAACCAATTATCATATTTTTACTGGCAAATGAGGTTCCCATAGTGTAGAATACTCACGATCTCCGTAAGATTCTCGTTACATTTTAAGAGTTTTTATTCATTCAAACTCTAAATGCATTTACACTAAATTACCAAAAGTAGTGTGGGTACTCCCCACCGAATTCAAGAAGTCTGGCCAGAGTTGGAGAGTAGGACACATACCCTCCAGAGGGGCTCTCTATAGCGGCCTCTAGTGGATGCCCTTGTGCCAGCAGTGGCACATGCAGGCACTTGCAGGGTCTGTGCCTTTACCTTTGCAATTCATAATGCGCAGTACATTATTTTAGTCAACAAAACATGAAAACATCACACACTTTTTATTTATTTATTTTCACCTGATGGTACCACAGTCTCCCTTGACCCAGAACACGATTTATTCAATGTTTTATTTTGTCGAGTTAACACACTTAAGCAGGGAGCAATATACATAATCACCATTTAGAGAGAAATGTATTTATTTGTGTGGACACATTTAACATATCTGTCATCTTCTTCTCCATCAACTTTCTTTAGAATTATTTCCCAAAAATGTGAATTTGCAATGGGTTGATATTATATTCAGTTGCCTCTCTTAAATACAATGATCATCATGGGGAATTTATCGAACGTGAAAATAAAAGTGTGCAAGAATAGGACACTGGGAACTCAGTTTACACATGTTGAGATTACGATATTTTGTTTTGCTCCAATAAATGTACACAATAAGACACAAAGCCAACATTTGCAGTTTGATGATGTTATCAGTGACATTTTGCACAATGTCTGGTATATTTGGGGGGGGGGGGGTGGAGTGGTGGCACAGTGGTCAGCACACTGCAGTAGGAACTCGGTGACCTGCGTTCGATTCCTGGCCACGTTTAGCACCGGCTGTAAGTGATATCGTGGCGAGTGATACCTGAACCAATCCTGGGCCCTCCAGTCCGGCTGAGTATGGTCAAACAACCCGCACGACTGACACAGTTTGGGGAGGCCTTCATCCAGCAGCGCGTTAACAAAGCACAGTAACATGTTGCCTTTATTATTGTAATCAATTATGATCGTACATTGCATTACGATAGGACATAATAGCGAAATGTTAGTGCTCGTGGCAACATTAATGTATGGACGTTACGTGAACATCTTTAGCCACGGAAACTGACATGGGTTGGTGATTATTGCAGGGATGCTGCCGCATGCTCATTTCGTTTCAATGTATGAAGCAGTCGTTTTAAACTCCGACTCCACCTTGTTGCTAGATGATAATGAAAAAAACAACAACACAGAGCATCGACAATTACTAAAATAGAAACGTAACTTACGCTCTCAAGTCATCACATGGACTGTTCGTGGTATTATGTATAACTTGATAAAATGTCAAATTCTGTATCGTATCATGCACAAGACAATTCAATCAAGAATGGTAAACTCAATTCCTGTACGTTCCACAACCTATGACCAAATCACCCAGGAGGTGCCCAATCTCGTCAAAGCTGAGCAGGGTCAAACATTGCTAATGCTCGTGCACAACAGGTGTTATGCTTGGTTTTTTTTCCTCCACCAACCCACACTGACCGGCGTGGCGATGTCCGGTCGTCAAATTTAACCCCCCACACGGCACGATCGGAAGCCCTCGTCCAACAGTATATTAGTTAAAGGGCCCCTACATGCACGCGTACACCGAGAGGGGGGGGGGGGTGGACAATGCTCACCTCTTGCAGCACAGCTTTCTCCAAACATCTCTCAGAGATGCCCTCGTCATGGGGCTCCCGCACAGGAACACGACGGGGGTGGTGAGCGTGTTCATGACCCGGAGGATAAAGAACGGGTGGATGGCATTGTGGCTCGCCTTGTAGCATATCTTGAAGTAGCTGCACGTGCCGCAGTGGATGATGCTCGGTGTCCACAGCGCCAGGAACATCACGGACGTGGCGATGATCAGCTGGGCCGAGCGCTTCTTTGACTCGCCCTCCGTGGCCGGCTCTTTGCCCAGCTGCCGTTTGGTGATGTAGTAGAGGCGAAGGTTGAGTGGGCCCATGATCGCGATGAGGATCAAGTTCCCGAGCAGCGAGCAGTAGGCGTGGAATATCTCCACGGAGGTGCGAGGGATCTCGGTTTTGATCACGTTGGTGACGATCGACAGAAACCACATGGAGAGGATGATGCAGATCACTTTGGTCCGAGTCATGTTTTTCGTGTAGTCGAACGGGTACTGCACGGCGTAGTACCTGTCCACCATAGCCGCCATGAGGGTCAGCAGCGAGATTCCGTGGAACATTGGGAAGAGTCCGGAGGGGTCGTAACCCCCCTGGATGCTCTCGATCACCATGAAGGTCCCGTTGTAGCACCAGCCCAGGCCGACGATCAAGTCGCTGAGCGTGATGCTCAGCGTGTAGAGGAAGTTGTTTCTTCTCAGCAGCTTCTTGGAGCTGACGATTGCCAAAACTAGAACGACGTTCCCGATGCCGATGGACGCCGAGAGAAGAATGTGAAACGCCAGTAAGATCCATTCGCCTGGCGTCTCTGCCAGGCTGGAAAGCGGAATAGCCATCGTGCTTATTGCAGCCGAGTCCGAGGTAAGAACAACGCGTGCCAACTCAACGTCCCACGAAGTGGTTTCAACTAGTTTCGATCAATGTTATTAAATAGGTTTTAAAATTCAGGCGAGAGCTGCTTAAAATAACACTGTCCATCCATTGGAGGGAAACACCATTCCCTGTTATATGAGCGGCGTGCTCTAAATTCAGCCCTAGCGGCTTGCGAAGGTAAACAGTCGGGACTCTGCAGGTAATTGTGAGCCTCTGTGGGGATTTTCGATGCATTGAAGGGGCACCTGAACAAACTATTTTTTTCATGGGTTTGGTGCGGCCACCGCTGCATGATGCACTAAATATAAATCTCCAAATTGGATGCGTGACATACATTCGAGTGAGATTCGCGCCAGCATTGTCCCAAATCAGCTCACGGTGAGCAGCGGCGGCGTGGTTGGCACGAGTCCCCGGTGCCAGGGACGAGATGGAGCCCTCTGTCCAAAATTTGCCTCTCCATTTTTGAAGCCCATGGGGCCCCTGGTGCAGCTACACTGCCCGCACACCCGCATGCGACGCAACTGTGCACAGCTGCACGTGCCTGCTTCAGAATGCTTCTCAGTGTCCCACGTACTGATGGAAACCTCGGGAAAACGAGCATCAATGCACGCACCGCAGACTTGCAATGTGCAGTCTTTTGTCAATCTGCTGCCGATGACGGCCTCTCCAAGCTATTTCGATCATAGATTGAGATTCATTGACCATACTTCACCGTTCTGGCCAGTGTGGGTTTGTGTAGTGGGAGACTATAGAGCCCAGTGAATAGGTATCGTATCAGGCTAGCAATGATTTACAACCCACAGCAATGAATGAATTGTCATGAATTTATAGTTTTTCTTATCTCGTTTTTACCATATTATTTTAATTTTGTCACGGTTTAAGTTGTTGTATCATTTATACAATCGTGTTCGTTCAGTCTGCTTACATGGTACATGAGAACTGATGTGCATATGATTGAAATAAACTGTAACTAATCAGTTCCCATGCAGGTGATATGCAGCTAATGCAGTAAAAACTTCTCCAAGCCGGACCCGACAGCGTGGCGCAAGGTGAATCCGTCCAATTAAAATTTGTCTATCCCAGGGGTCGGCAACCAAAATTTGTGTAAATTGAACTTCTTTCGCGTCGTATGTAGCTAACCATGCAAATCGGAGGTGTGGGGGAACGACACAAAAAAACTACCGTAAAATAACGAGAAGAGCATTTTTGTTTTTTTAATTCGGTTTAAAAAAACTCAAGAGCCGCAATGCACGTGAATAACGAGACGGTCCTTCATGAACGTCACGAAGAAGTCCTTCAAGAGCCGCATGCGGCTCCGCAACCGCAGGTTGCTGACCCCTGGCCTAGACAATGATGTCGAGGTGGGGGGGGGGAAATCCAAGGGGGAAAGTGGGGGGTGGTCGTGGGTGGCGATGGAGGCATTGTCCAACACCCCTCCTCCCAGAACATTGGAATTGTATTGATATTTACCATGGAAAAGACATGGAACGTTTGTTTTGTCCAATGTAGGGCCCTATTTAAAACCTGAAAATGTCAACACCCCTGGGAGGTTGCTAGATCCGCCTCTAATTGACGTCCAGAAACGAGGGGGGTGCAAGGTCACCACACATCACCAGCAGCAGCAGAGCACGTGCCAGGCTGGTACCGCTAGTAACTCCCGTGCCCTTGGGGACACGTGGCAGTCTACCACCTGCTCTGCCAGTGGCGACGTTTATTACCATCAATATATGTAAATACAAAAGCTATTACCCCTTTCGATTTAAAGCTTTCGTGACTGCAGGGATTCATCTTCTTGGTTCTTTCGGTAAAGTCACGTAGAAGGGAAGTAATAAAATAATAAAAAAATAATAAAAATAAAACATACTTCCCTTCTACGTGACTTTACCGAAAGAACCAAGAAGATTAGTACCCCTTCTTGGTTATTTCGGTAAAGTCACGTAGAAGGGAAGTAATAAAATAATAAAAATAAAACATAATAAAATAATTCTCACGACGTTTCGGCCACAACGCAAGCAGTCGTCCTCAGGTGAACGGCTGCTTGCGTTGTGCCCGAAACTTCGTGAGAATTATTTTATTATGTTTTATTTTTATTATTGTATTACTTCCCTTCTACGTGACTTTACCGAAAGAACCAAGAAGATGAATCCCTGCAGTCACGAAAGCTTTAAATCGAAATTTAAAAGTTATTACGTAATATGCTTAGGTCAGATTTCCTTTATAAAATTCACGATTTCAGTGCCACCAAAAACTGTTCACCCACCACCTATGCATGCCCTGCAAGGATTCTGTGTTGTTAAAGGTTCAACAGCAAAGTAAAACGGGCGCCAGACTCAACGACGCATGCACGATTGTGCATGGCTGCGTGATCCACCCAGCACTCAGTGTCCGTGTCACTTGATACCCTGGGTTTATCCAGTTAATACATGTTCATAAAGATCTGTGTATATATATAAAAAAATATTATTCAGGATTGTGATTACATTTACATATCGATTTCTTTTGTGTCTCGTTTTCATACCGTTGTGTGTATGTTTGCTTGATCGCACATTTTTATTTTTTGTTTGAGCCATTTGGCCAATTTGAACAATTAGCACAACATGTCCATAACTATTGGATATTCATATCTCACAAGCACGATTCAATTAATGTATAATAAACATTCGTTCTTGCTACAAATCACAGCAAACTCACATGCCTACTGGATATGCATATTATTCAAAAGGTTTGCCAAAGCTTGCACTGTGATAGTTAATTAGCAGTGCTATATACTGTGTAGATAAGAACAGTTATTCAAGATTGGGTACAAGTGAACGGTGATAACTGTTGAGATGTAGGCTTTACATTCTTCGTGCAGGGTCACGCAGAGAATCCTGCCTCAAGGTACTGGTTCATAAAACATGACGACGGGGCTGGTGAATGTGTTGAGATCGTAAGTAAAATATGTGGGGATTGCTTGCACTGTGACGAGCTTCGGAATAACATTTGAGCGGATTGTGAGACACCGCCTGCTTGGAATGTGAAATCCATTCGGCGTGGGACATTAGAAAGGGGCTCTTCATGTGCAGCACCAAGTCGGTCTGGAATGCTCTCTGCCAACTGAAGTCCGCTCAGCCGTGACAACCGGTGCTTTTAAGATCGGACTAAAACATTTTTTTTCTCTTTGGGGCTGTCCATAAATGACGTCACGCGATTTTAGACGATTTTTGACCCCCCCCCCCCCTCGTCACACGGCGTCACAAATGTCTGACCCCCCCCCAGGTGCGTGACGTCATTTATGGACGGCCCCTTTTGTTTAGTTTATTTTGATTAAAATTTGTCTCTGTGCCGTCAGTGCTTCCATCTCAGCTTAAGTTTTCTCTCTCTGAATGTCGTGCGTTGCTCCTCCTAGATTGGTGTTTGATCATGCACCACTCCAGGTGCATGACGGGAGTCTTATTTCAAAGTCATACAATGGATTGAGAGAGAAAAACATATTTCGCTGACACACCAGATGAGTTTGGCAGAAAAGTCCAACATCGTAATGTATTACTGTTTAATCTCAACAAGCTTCTCGCACGTATTAAATATCTATTTTCTGGTGTCATTCAGTGAAAAAATCCAACAACAAAAATGTTTAATAAATATATAGCACGACAAATGGAAGAATTATTAAAGCTACGTAAGATGTTCAAAACCTCGTTAAATTGTTTGATTTTGTACAGGAAAAAGTTAAATTACTGTTGAATTCATAACATGTGAAGTCCATTACCCTTCTATCTGGCAACAAAACTGACACCTTTTTGCAAGGAGTCATGTTTGCATAGACCGCAATACCTGCAGTCATAATACAAACAAAAGAACATAACTCTGATAATGTGCACATTATCAGAGTTATGTTCTTTTGTTTGTATTATGACTGCAGGTATTGCGGTCTATGCAAACATGACTCCTTGCAAAAAGGTGTCAGTTTTGTTGCCAGATAGAAGGGTAAAGAACAAATTATCATATTTTTACTGGCAAATGAGGTCCCCATAATGTGAAGTCCACATTGTGGAATTTATCATACTACTATATATTAAAAAAAAAATCGATGCGTCGAATTTCCTGGCTGGCTGCTGTATTGGGCTCCTTTCCACCCCCAACACTAACTCTGTTGTCCGTGGCTGCGGGCCATTGCCACCGAAACTCGCTGGGTAACTGGCTACACGGGATTTCTGTGGGAGTAATGAATACGGAAGAGTGACACGGTTCATAAAATTTTTCCTGAAAATTTTACATTTTTGTTTCTGTTTTTATAATTATTTCACCCGAACATTTTTTTTTTATCCTCGAGAATTTATAAAAAAACGAAACCTCACAATATATATTATCTAGGTATTTTGTTACATGATGATAAGAGTATGAAAAGGACATCTGCCTCTTATTTTCCATTGCAGAGCAACGAGTTATCTCCTCGTTATGGAGTGCCGTGGTGACAAGATGTTAACTACCTCGCCTGGTTTACAGAAAGTCGTGGTTTCGATCCTGACGCTGACGCCTGCTGTATATTAGGAGTTTGCATGTTTTCCCCGTGGTCGCGTGGATTTTTTTTCCCGGGTCCTCCGGGTTCTCTCGCCACATTTAGAAACATGCGCTTAGAGTATCTGGCTACGTTAATTTTCCACATGATAAGCCACTTATTGTTCGACTTGCATCCCACTGGGATTTTTGCACACAGCGTTGAAATACGGTGTTTTTTTCTGGAAGACTTTGCTGTTTTTTTCCAGGATGTTTCTGTTGCGCGTAGTCACTTTAAGATGTTTCTTGTTCATGTTTTTGTTTTGTTGCGGTTGCACCCGAGTCAAGAGCAGCATGACTCACAGAGTTATACCAAATAAATGAAACTGAAAACTGAAAAAAACTTCGTTGAGTTATTATTTGTGACCAGGTTGCTTCTGACAAAAGAGCCTTATAGCTCAGTGAGCCTATTAAAATAAACATTATTTTATTTTATTCGTGAGTTATTTTCCGAGAAAAATG